ACGAATTTCATCGGTTAAATACTTTATTTTAACAAGATGTATTTTTTTCGAATTCAAGTCTTAACACGTAAGATGACTTTTCAGTTATTTTTTTAAATAAGTTTTTTATTTTTTTAATAAAATAACATCTTTTTTTTATCATCTACTACACATAAAAAATATTACGATCTTTTTTATTGCACTAGTAATATGATAAATAATTTTATCGAAAAATTTAATGAATAGATAATTATTGACAAGCAATTTAGTAGAAATATATGATGAAAAGTTACTAATAATATTATTTAAATAGTAGTATTTAACAATATTCTGAAAGGGCATTGCATAGCTGGAAACTATTACAATATTATCTAACTATTTTTCTTACAAACTTTAGAGAAATATGGACTGTTCACCCTATGTTTAATTGAATTTTGTCTATTTTAACGTCATCTCGACATTCTTTATTAGAAGTCTAATGAAGTTTAGATGAATAAAATACATGTAAGCTCATGATTTTGATTATGCAGCTAACTCTTCTAGAGCAGCAATTTTTGGGTAAAATCGCATCCGATACACAAAAAATAAACACTTTCAAAGGCACTTGAAAATATGATTGCGTCCTAACGCGAGCGAAAAACATATTTAAGACACGTTTGAACGCAGTTCGTAAACAAAATTTTTTTAAACGCATTAAATTTTTTTCAGAAACGTGTCGAAACGCGGTTTATTTTTTTCTGATTGCATTTAAACGCCTTGTATAGAAAACCTGCGTCCAGCCGCGTTTCAAAATTTTTTCTAAGTGCGTCTCAACGCTTCTCATATTACACCACGTTTGAACGCGTTACGTCAAACTCTTATTAAACACGTACAAACGCAATTTCAATATGAAACGCGTTGAGACGCGGTTCATAGTTTTTTTACAATTGCGTTTCAACACGTTGCATACAAAAACTGCGTTCAGACGCGTTTCAAAAGTTTTCTAACTGCGTCTCAACGCGTTTCATATTAAAAATGCATTTGAATGCGTTGTGAAACCGTTTTTAACTGTGTCTAGACGCGTTTTGTTGTGAAACCGCGTTTCAACGCATCGATCTTGCGTTTCATGATTACATGGGAAGGGTATTAGTTGAACCATATCCAGTTCTTACTATTGCAGAAGAAGAAATTCGAAATGCAAAAATGAATAAAACACAACTAGCAGCTATGCCTCTTCCTTCTCACATGGGTATATGCTGCCTGAGCCTTCTCTAAGTGCTTTTTGTGTCTATTTTTGATTTTCTTAGAATCGGCTCTACAAAAACATCGAAGAAAAAACGTACCACCGCTACCATTGTCACTTGATTTTCAAATTCCTTTGCTTTATCAACGTACTTGGTCTGGGGAACAATTTGTTTTAGGTGATGTACAGAGAAAAAGGGTTGGTGGTCGCTTGATTATGTTTAGTTCCAACGAACAAATTGATTTATTATTGAATAGTACGACTTGGTTTTGTGATGGTACATTTAAAACTCGACCGCTATTATTTGAACAAGTTTATATAATACAATGTCTTGTTGGAGAACAAGGTATATTAAATTGATTACTGTCTTTTCTGTGATTAAGAATGCAGTTATTATCTGTTTCCTTTTTCAGTTTTACCAGCAGTATATGCTTTGACATCCAATCGTAAACGTAAAACATATGAAGAAATGATTGGTATTATTTTGAATTTAGCAGCTAATCGACAGAAAGTTTTGTCTGTGCAAAGAATCATCTCGGATTATGAAGAGGCTTGGCTACTTGCTGTCGAAAAAATGGTAGTTATTTAGTTTTACGTAATATTAAATGATATGATTGAAGTTTTTATTCATTTATTTAGTTACCAACTGTATCCCAACTTGGGTGTTGGTTTCATTTCACCCAAGCATGTTATCGCAACATTCAAAAGCTCGGTCTCTCCAGTTTATATGATGACGATTCAGATATACGACTGATGCTTAGAAAGTTTCTAGCATTGGCCTTACTTCCTCAAGATCAAATTAAAACTTGTTTTAAACAGCTATGTAAAAATATTGATCCTCGTTTACAATCCTTCATTGAATATTTTAAACAACAATGGATGATTGATATGGGACCACATCTTTGGTGTGTGGCTGATTCACCAATCAGAACAAATAACAGTTCTGAGGGTAAATAAGAATTCACTTTAAAACGCAGAGCAGTATAGATAATATTTTCCTCTTTTTCAGCATATAATCGCCGATTCGCCAGTAGAATGCTACATACGCATCCAAATATTTGGAGGTTTATTCATATACTGAAAAATGAAGAACAACACATGATTCAAAAGAATATTCATCAATTGATAGGAAATAAATGTGGTTCTACAGCCACACGAGCAAAGCGAGCTAAACAAGCAGTAAAAAAAACATATCAAATTATAAAACTACATCGTTTATTTATTGAAAATAAGAAAACATTAGAACAACTGATTCTTGGATTATCATTTCTAGTCGGTGAACCAGTTGGAAAAAGTAAAACAAAAAAGAAAAAACAAAAACAAGCAATTTGTTAGACAAATCAGTAGTATTTAAAAGAATTGTTATTGTTTACATGTTCTTTTCTTACTTATCAAATATGACAATATTGTTTGTATATGTTGGCGTCCAATGTCGGATTCAGTCCAATCTCGGATTGGCCTAGGCGAATCACGGATGCTTACATTGGACTAGTCCAATATCGGATTGATGCAATTCGGTTCACTGAAATATCAATTACTCTTGAGATAGATGTTCGATTCGAATTACTTTTTGAAATTATGTTCACACAATGCCAATTTGTTTGTCACTATCGTTGTTGGAAAGATTTAAGTAAAAGTTTGGGAGTTATGAATAAATTTCTATAGAACAACAACTTTTATGAAAAGTTGTTATAAAGTTCTTCAGTCTAAATTTGGCTTCTTCCTGAATACCTGCAATACTTAAAACGGCACCGTGCGAACATACTTAAAAAAAAATAATTCGAATCCAACGTCTATCTCAAGAGTAATTGATATTTTAGTGAACCGAATTGCATCAATCCGATATTGGACTAGGCCAATCCGAGATTGGACTGAATCCGACATTGGATGCCAACATATATTTATCTTTCAGATTTAACTGCTTTTTTGTATCAATTTTCTTATATCGCGTCAGTTCATTTAAAAAGCTTTAATCCTACCTTTATCAATATTTAAAATTATGATGCAATGGCATTTTAATTTTGGTCTTTTGAATGATTTCGGTAAGAAATATCTATGACTATATTACTTTTTTGCAAGCTTTAGCTGGTTTTACAATTATTCGCTTTCATTTTCTAAGATGGCTTGGTATCTAAATGTTTGGATAGTGTTCCACAATATCGTCAAGCGTATCCAGCACCCAGAGCTGATGTATCTCAATCACTTGAACAAATGATCGCAAGAGGATTTCCGCCAAATCAAAATATCTTATGGCATAAAAAAACTCACGGACAAAAGCGATATTATTGGATAAGAAAACCAAATGGCGATGAGGAAGTACGTGTTAAAGTCGGTGGTGGTGTGTTCGGAAAAGCTGGTAGGCACCTGTGTGCTAATCTTTCGATAAACAATACCTCCAACAATAAATTTGATTTTCATACACATTTTCTCATTGACAGATCGTGACTTAAGAATATTAACATCAATAAATGAATGTCAAAAGATTGTCCGACAATTTTTAGTTCGTTGGGATAAAAATGGTTCTTTACCAGGATGGAAAGCAATGTGGTCAATATTTGATGTTGCAAATTACGATGTTAGTGAGAGACGAATAAAAGTTATCCATAAAATTATTCAAGACTGTGTTACTCGAGAACCAGTTTCTGGCGATAATATCGAAGGTTCTGATAATGAGTGAGTATTCAAGAAGAACCCTATTATTAATTTATCAAAAACTATAATTTTCGAATTTCTTTTCTCTTTGAAGATCAATAAGTGATCGATTACCAATTGAAAGTCATTCTGATATTCATAATCAAGATAATGGAAGTATTTTACAAAGTAGTCAAACTGACGACAGCTGTAGTGTTCAACAACCATCACTTTCTAATCAAGTGCATCGGTAAGAAGCATTCTCTTCTACTAGAGACAATAATAGGCGATTTTACCTATCACACCGGGCTTTCTTGAACACTTTATGATTTAGCATAAAATTCATCCATCTTTTCTCATCTGTTTTTTTTCTCTTTTTCAAGTGATCAAACAGGAATTAAATCACCACCAGGTCTTCGTCAATTTCCATCGTCAATTATCGTTAGCTTAACAACAAATCAAGCGAAAGAAGCGGATAATATAACTCTTACAAATCGTACATTACCACAGCATACAACGATGGTGATGGCTGCTATACCAGCAATGACACCAGTTGATATACTTTCACCACCACAATACGAACAATCGGACACAAACAATTCTATTGGTTCAGATGACTCAGATAAAGAAAATGATGTTGGTCATCAAGCGTTGTAAGTGCTGATAAATAATGCCTTAAAGAAAGCTGCTCTTCTTGGATATCTACTGTTTTTTTTTATCAAGAGTCGTTGGTCAAGCACAACAGACACCTCCAAATTCATTAACGACTTCTCAACCATCTTCTTCAACAGCTGATTATGAAACCCAATCATCAGCACAAATTCCAACGCCTGCTGCTATCAAGAAAAAAAGACAACGTCGTGTGTATGCTCCAAGAGCAACACCATATGCAACAAGACAAAGAGGACCATTAACATTTAAAGAAACAAAATAAAGTTGATATATATTGGTATTATTTCGACAAACATTTTTCTTGTTGTTTATGTTTGATTGTAATTGTCAAAATCTATTTTACTCCTTACGTTTTGTTTTTTTACTGAAAGGAACTAAAGAAAATTGAAATAAAATAGTCAGTTTAAACGGAACTGAACATTCGAAAAAATCTGAAAATGGTGATGGCGGTGAAGAAACATCAGTCGAATAGAATTATATCGGTAGGGTATCGTGTTCTAGTGCTACCGAGCACTATGTGTTTTAGGCTGGCGTTTATTCAAGACAAGTAATAATTATCGAAAACGGCTGCTTCATCTCTAACAAAGTTGAATGAAAACTGCTAAACATCATTTTGTACTGCTAAGCACCATATCGTCTTGCTGAGTCCTATGTCGTACTGCCAAGCACCATATCATACTGCAGAGCACCATGTCATACTGCTGAGCATCATGTCGTACTGCAGAGCACCATGTCATACTGCTGAGCACAACGGTTTATTGGAGGTGCATAGTGCTGAGCACCATGAAGTTTACTAAATATTTACAAAATTAATTAGATAAATTAAGTTTTGGTCCGAAATTCCTTTCGGCCCGGACCGAAAAATCACCGGAATTTCGGCCCGGGCCGAAAGTCCGGGACAAAAAATTCGTGGGCCGAAATTCCGGCCACCCCACAAAAGTAGTCAATAGATTTTATTTGGCAATAGTCATGTTCATCAGAGCACTCAGCTTTTCCATTAGATGGACTGTCGGACTGATTGTCGAGTAACTTTAGAAAAAATTGTGCTTCAGATGAAGTAGAAAATTCTAGGTCGTATAATGACAACAGAAATACATAGAAATCGTCAAAAGTTCGAATATACTCTCGAACTCGAAAGTATTTTAATTCTATGTCGCCTTCAATCAACATAGGAATTGCTCTAAAACGAAGACTTCGTACCATACGGAACTCGTGGAATTTACTTTCAGTTTCGTCTAACCATTCAGAAACATTTTCTTTGCCAGAAAAACGAACAAAGTTTTTCGATATGAAAATGTCAAAATTATCTTTAGTGTCCATTTTAATAAAATGTTACGTGTTGTTGTGGTGTAGTGTGGTTTAACAGATATAATTTTAATAATTGTAATAAGCTAATGCAAATTAATTTTGCAGAAAAGATCAGAAGAAACGAATAATGGATTAGAAGAAATAATAATAATATATGAAAAGAATAGGGCAGACAAATTGCCCAACTTCTCCACCAAATGTTAGCTCTCGTTTTGGGGATTATGTAGCAATGGTAGAACTAATATTTAGTCTGCCAAAAATGGAGAGCTAAACATGTTTTAATAATCGACTTTGCCGTCGTTTCATATATAGAATATATTGAGTATCGAGTGATCGATACGATAGAACATCAACAACTGCGTAAATAACAAAAACAAAAAGATAATCACGAGATGACTCATAGTTGAGAGATTACGTAACAAATCAAATTAGAGATTCACAAAATAGATAACATAAGATAAACGTTTAGCGTCAGTAAGCACCATCTACTGACGCTAACAATAGTGAATAGAGAAAACAATTGGTTATTTGAATTTTATCTCTTCATCATAGGATTGTTTTTTCTTGCCTATAGGATAAGAATTAATGAATAATCGAACATCTCTTATCAGAGTCGATACACATTTGATCTTTTTTGATAAAAATTCTTGTCAATATGAGACAAACACAATAAAGGAATTTTTATTTTGCAAAAAAAAAAAGATCCGAAGCAAATCTCGACATTATCAATGATCTATTCAACAAAGAAATAACAAACATCAACAATAGAACAACGTAATCATTTTCTATAGTTTTATTTTATATTTTTGAAAACAAATCATAAAAAACTCTCATTAATTTTCGAATGAAAGTGGAAAATCACATTCCTTGGCAACAGTTACGATAAGGAATTGTTAAAATTTCTCGTTCAGAAATTAAATCCTTTCATCTAAGATCAAATCGACACGGGTTGAAAATGATCAACAAATATTTACTTTTGTTTCTTTTTCATTTCTAATTTCAAACTCGGTAGAAAGAGACGAAAAGTCGAATTTAATGTTGAAGTTTTAACAAGAATTTCAACTTGATTTTGACACAAAATAAATTTCGATTGTTTCTCTTGTCTCAATAATAAATATTCTCTATTAAAAATGTCGTTTTCCTATTTCGACAAGACAATACAAACGATATCTTTTGTCATAAGAAAAGAATTTATTGAACACTTTGTTTCTACATAAAATCGAACTAATTACTGTCAGTCCTAGTAATGAGGATTTTACTATACATATAGCTATTATTTTTATAGCAGTGTGGGTGTAAGTGGGCACCGGTATAGATGGATGATATGTCCACATTCACACCCACACCCTCACTCCACATTCTCAACCGCACGCCACCCTCACTCCCACACTCCACACCCCACACTCTCACTCCATATTCTCTCTCTCACACCCACACACCCACACCGTCATAAGTCATAAAGCACTTCAAATTGTATTTTGAAAATGATGAGTGGGTGAGATTCATTGTAGATTCTTTAACTTTTCTTAATTCTTGAAGTAAGTGCTTTGTCGTTGAATTTCAAATGTTCGCAATTACTGACTAACATGTTTGGTTCTGCACAAAAGTGTTGCTGAATAATGTTTTTGAATTCATTGGTCTTTCAGAAAAGAGAAGATAGATCACTGGGTTCGTCTTTCTGTTCTGGCATATCCGTTATTTTGTTCGCGTCTATCAGAGTGTGTTTCAGTTCATTTGCTTGATCTTCTGTAAAAAAAAACTGTATGTAACTAGGCTAGGAGATTGCTTCAGACATGTTCGAAAAAGGGTGCATAGCAAAAATATGTCATCAACTGAAAAAAAAACCTAGCGATGAATTAGGGTGTGGATGTTAATCTTCCCTTCATACCCACACCCACCCTAATTTGAGTTCAGATTTAAATGAAGAATTAACTACCAAGCATCAATACAAAAATAAATGAGAAAATCAAAACGACACTTTCATGTTAGTTTTGAAAAATAGGAAAAGAAAAAGTTTTTCTGAACTATAGATGAGATGCTTATTTTGAATTTGAATATTAATGAAGAATTTAATGATCATCATCGATTTGAAAATAAGGAAATAAATTCAAACAGCACTTTGATGTATTGTCAATGTGAAAGAAAAGGAAGAAGCTTTTCTGAATTGTAATGATAATTTGAAATGAATCAGACAATGCAATGAACATAGGGTTTATAAGGCTTTGTTTTTTAAATTAAATTAATAAGCAGCGAGTCTTAGCGTCGGATGATCCGTTTGAATAATGGGATTAGTCGGTAGATTATATATAAGCAATCGAACAATTTGAATGTGACGTATGAAGTCTGATTAATTTTTCAGACAGTAATTCAGTTATCTTTCACAGTAGCATGATTTCCCTATGCCAGTTCCAAGATAAATGAATACGTAGGACTTGATATATCGTTTTAAAATTGAATGATAACAATGTAAACCAGCATATTACGATTGGAGTACCCAAAGATACAGTTTACTTGAAATATATTATGATTCCAGGAAAACCTCTGCTGTAAATTATACAGAAAAAGACACAGCTAAAGATTAACTAAACTGTGATAAGAAATTCGAATGATCCAAGAAAATTCTGAAAAGCAATTGATGAACAGCTTGAAAATATTAGTAAAATGGAAATGTAACTCTAGGTTTGATTTCACTTGATTATATGTATGAAAAGGGTGGGTGTGAATCTTCTCTTCATACTCAGTCACATGTACACCCATTCATGTATTTCGTCTGTAACGGATAATATACCTTCTGATTCACGATTTAGTGTGCTTATTAGTGATGAAATGGCGCTAGATTAATAAGTGAAGCAATGAAAACAAATGAAGCGCTTTCTTTTTGAGTAGTGCTTTATATGTGACTCAAGTGAAACGGCATAGTGTATGTTCCTATTGCCGACAATTATTTCATTATTGTTTATAGTGTTAGACGTTTGTAACTGATACTTTGTTGGCTTTGGCTTTGAAACCCCTTTTTCTTCTTTTGAATATGATACTTATTAAAATCAATATGAAATAAAAGAAAAATAAACAAAATAGATTTCAAACTTTACTATCATCTTTAGTTCTATTATGAGGTCTTCGAATAGTATGATATTGGTATCGTGCAAGTCGATAGAGCATTTCTGCTAATTCCATTATAGACAGAAAACTGACACCGATCCAAAGACCTGTTTGACCACCAACATTGGACAAAACATCAACTGCAGACATTGTTGCTGTTTGAGTATAATTTTCAATTAGAGTTGATTCATGTACTAAATCGATCGAGAGATAACTCGAATCAATATAAGAACGCCAATTTGTTGACCAATCAATAGGTAATGGAATTTCGGAATTTTCAACAAATGTTTTAATATCATCCATTAACCATGTTGGTGGTGCTTTCCATAGTGAAGATTTGATATTGAAGTCCGTAACCAAACATTGCTGTGGACAATATGAACAATATTTGTCAAGCAAGGATGATGACGTCAAAAAAACATGGGCTGCATCGGAGTAACACTTATCAGATGTATTACATAAAGGAGCCATAATCATTTCTTTAGTTTCAGGTAGAAAAATCAAGCGACTATTCCATTGTATGGGATTAATGCAGCCACATTGCTGATATCTACAATTGAATAATTCTAGTTTATTCAATCAAATAGTATTTATCAAAGAAAGATATTTACGTAAATACTTCCGTGCATAATTCATAACAGATATCTTCTGAATATCCATATTCTGCACCTTGATAATTATCAAACATAGCTTGCATCATAGGAGGTATTTCATCATTACATGTAGAATAAGGAGAACGTAAATATGAGATTATCTTTTTGGTATACGTAATTCGATGTTTAAATCCAGTTGCTAATGCCATACCAGCAGAATCAATCAATGGTAATTGTGCATTATCATGTACCATCGCTATCATACCGACACCTTTCATAAAACAATAATAACAATACAAAATTATTCAAAAAGCTGTTAGTACGATCTCTATGGAATTAAAACGCTGAACACGATATATCAACATCTGTTATGGTCTGTATAAGGATCTGAATTTTACCTCTATACTTCAACATTTCTTTTAGATTATGTTTCTAAAAATTATTGTACTAACCTTCTCTAATATACGGCACATACTGATGACTATGAACATAGAAACGTAGATTCAGGCGGCCAGATCCACCATATTCATTACTATAGTGTATGTGATTAATATTTTTCAATTTAGCATTAAATGTATAACAAACACCATAGGAAGATGATGAAAACGAAGTAAAGTTTACGGCTGAACAAGGGTGCCCATTAAAGACGCATTTCATGAGCATTGTATTGAGTGGAAAAAAGAATTCCTTTAGAGATTCATTTTGATTTATTTTCATTTGAAAAAAATCACCCATATGTTTAGCTTGAAGCAATGAAATTGAAGTCGTATCATTTGTATTCGTAATGTTAAGCGTAGCTGTATAGTTTGCAAAAGATTCAATGAAATGATCGTAACGAACAGGCGCAAGATTACAAATAGTAAATGCTGGAAAATGTTGCGGCCATTCACTGACAATATTCACTGAGGTTTGAGTCGAATATTCAAAATAACTACGAATTTCTTGAATAACAAAGTATAGTGTAATTCCAGTAAAGATGATAAAAGAAATTGACCAGAAAATTGTATTATGTATACTTTGACTGCGAGCAATACCTGGAATACCATGAATGGATGTATTCAAAGCGTATTCTCGAATAATCGATCGACGTCGACCAGTTTGTCGTCGTGCTCTATTAGAAGTGGTGCTAATTACAAAGATAGTGTCAATATGCATGATATGCACTTGGTTTCAACGAAAATATAACAATTTAATTTTTTTTTAAATCTACAAACTATAACAAAAAACTGATTGTTTGCGTCTTTTTAAGTTATGATCATTTCATAAACAAATATTAATACTTGCTTCAGCTAAGTGAAATATTACTTAATTAGTACAAATATCACAATTTTTACTTTTCGAAAAACACTAGATGTATTTAATTGAATAAACGATTGTATAAGTTTCATTTGTTAAGAATAAATGAATTATACGCATTTATAAGATTTTGTATTTTATATTCAGTTCTATTTTTTTCTCAACCTTTTCTTCTCTCTCTTTAACATCTCTTAATTTTTTAAGAGTACCTTTTATAATGGTACTGTGCACATTTTTATTATATTTGTTTTCATATACTCGTTAAGTCATGTTATTGAATGTATTTATGATTCTTACAACGTTCTATTTGTTTTAAACTTATTCATAGGAAAGTATTTGTTTGAAACTATGAGATGATCAACATAATTGTTGGAAACAATACGATGCAAAAGTGTATATTATTTTTTCATTAATCAATTGAGATTTACAAACTATTTTTCATCGTAGATTTTCATTATTCCTAATGAGTACTTTTAATTTAATATTTGTAGATGATTACCAAAAGAACTGGTAGAAAGTTATTTTAATAATTGTATTCACTTTCTAAGTGCAATGAATTATGAGTCAGTAAACGTAACAGTTTGAGTATTATTACAACTTTAGCCGTACCAAAACTACAATAAATAATAATAAATCGATCATAATTAACAGCAGTTGACTCAAAAATGAATTATATACAGTGAGATTGTTCAATCTCAGTTGATATGCTCATAGAATAAAATCTTTTGTGATATTTGGAAGTTAAGCAAGAGAAAGCCGATCTTCTTGATTATCTCTTTTCAACTGCTTGATCATTTGATTTTATAAATGATGAATGCTGTAATAGAACAAGCTCTCCTTTAGCATGAATTCTTTCTTATTTTTTCACAGTCTTGATTGTTCTGTTTTCATTACTTGATAGATATGCTTTTATGTGATTAAAGTAAAAGAAAAAAACAGTGCTTTCATTTACATTCTTTTAATTATACAAATACAGAATTTCGATGTCCGTATAAACTACAAAAAAAAAGATATTTAGATGATTATAAGTCTAGTATTGAAGGAAGCGAAAATCAACTCATTCCAAAATATCACTTGATGACAATCAAAACTGTTTTATTCTTCAACTTTGTTTGAAAACTTAAATGATCGAAGATAAGCGCTCACATATACCTGTTCGTTATCAGACCATAATTATGTTCTCTGGTATTGTCACTAACTATCATGGAAAACAAGAATGGTGTGACAATTTAGAAAACAAAACATGTCAAATTCATTTTCATATAACTCACAAACTTCTTTGTCTTATTATTTCTGCCAGACAAAGATTAATATTCGTCCTCTTTATAATATATTTTTACTTTGAAAAAGAGTTAAAATCTTTCATGAAAAATATGCATGTTTCATATGAAAGGTATATTGTAATTTTTTGTTTATGAAGATTTTAATATGTGTTTAGGCAAAACAGAAACAAGTGAACGATGAATCGCCTCAGACGAAATTGGAATATCACTGTTCAATAAAGATTTTGTCTTTGGAAACCATAATGTAGCTATAATGAAAAGAACAAGAATTTCTTAACTTCGTCAGAAGAATATTTCTTTTCTGTATATAGAAAACTTTAAAAGCATTTTTACTCTTCTCCTGTTTCAAGTTCTTCTAAAAGTTAATTAATAGTCTTCTACATTAGTGCAAAAAAAAGAGCAACAATGACGATATTAACTTCAGATTGAGTATACACATTATCAGAAAACATTCATAGAGACTCGTTTAGACTCTCTTTTGCATTTAGATCAATCACTCTTCGATATCTTAATTAAGTACATAAAAGCTTCTCGTTCTAGAAACAACTTGTTTTCTCTTACTATTGGATATTTTGTTTTCATAAATAATATCAAAGTTTGTACGAATAAAATATTTGTAATGCTCTTTCGAGAGAAAAGAAAATGCACTTTTCTTAAGTAGATATTCAATAGACTTCAAGAAGTAGAATAACTGCCGGAAATAGAGAAACAAAATATCAGTGAAGCAAATAGAAAATATAATGAAACCGAGAGTATCATCATGAAAAATGTTTTCTGTGATACACATCATCAAATAATGATTGCATTTCTTATGATATATAAATTGGTTTTGTAACACTTAGTTTTTTTGTAACACATTTCAAAAAAAGAAAAGACATACATATATTTTTTTTAATTTTTTTTGCCCACTTTAATTAAGGTAACACAAAGAATTAATTTTAAAAAATATTATTAAAGTACTCCAATTTTAATATGTCGATATTTTCTTCTATATATTTCAAATATGCTCACTAGGATATATTATCAAAAGAAAAAAAATTAAATAGGGAAAAATGACTAAATTAATTTAGAATTCTTTACTACTAAAGACAAGTACATTATCTTTCTTCTATTATGCTACCATGTCACCACCAGTAAAGTTGAAAGAAAAAAAAAGAAACCATACATTTTATGTTGTTTTACATTGCCTAAGGACATATTATATTATTGTTTTGCACAGGAGCATACAACGATCTACGCATGATCGATTATGAAATATCAAAATAAAATATTTTAAGCAAAATAATTTATTAAATAAAGAAGCAATAAAAAAAAATGATTGAAAAAAATGAAACAAAGTCTAAAACATCTGGTAAATATTTTTTTTCTTAAATCTTACTGATTAATTTCCCAATAATTATGTTATTTCTTTGTTCTTAGTACCATTTTGGTGTTCAATGCGTGTCATCATTACCTTTATGAGTTTTCTTGGTATGATAATACATTTTTCACAAAAAACCAACGTTAGCATTGCTCTTGTCTGTATGGTTAATCATTCAGCTATTGAACATCATGAAAAAAATACTAAAAAAACACATCTTACTGACATGAATCATTATTGTCTTCAAACAAATAAGACAAATCATATCGTAAGTTAATAAAAAAAAAAAACACAAAATAAAGTCTTTTAATTACTCTTCATTTCAGGAAGGACCTTACGTTTGGAATAAAAATATTCAAGGTATTATATTATGTTCCTATTTTGGAGGTTATATGATAACACAAATACCCGGTGGATATTTAGCTGGTCGATATGGCGCTCGATTTCTTTATAGTGGTGCCATATTTATTTCAAGTTTAGCTACTATGTTTATGCCATTAGCTACTGCTGCACATTGGATTGTATTTAGTATTCTTCAAATACTTGTTGGACTTGCACATGGTATTATTTGGCCATGTATAGCTGTTATTATGGCTCATTGGATACCATCAAAGGAACGAGGAAAATTAATGGGTTTTGTAAGTGCAGGTAAGATGATTTTGTTTGAATTGTAATTAAGAATTTATTTTTCTTATTATATAATTATAGGTGCTCAAATAGGAAATATTCTCATTTTATCATTTGGTGGACTAATGTGTTCGTGGCATTTTGTAGGTGGTTGGCCATTAATTTTCTATTCTACAGGTTAGTGTTAAAATTCATTTAATTATTTAAATATAAACAATTCTTTGATAATAATTTTTTAAAGGTACAATTGGTTTTGTTTGGGCTTTATTATGGATTTTAATCTATGTAGATTCACCTCATGATCATACATATATAAGTGCAATAGAAAAAAAATTTATTCTTGAACATACTCAACAATTGTTAAATAATAAAAATAACAATGATAATCAATTTCATGCTCCATGGCGAGCTATTCTAAAATCATCAGCGTGTTGGGCATTATTCATTATTCATACATGTTGTAATTGGGGTACATATACATTTTTAACGTCAATTCCAAAATATATGGATGAAGTTTTAGGATTCGATATTAAATCGGTAAGAATTAAAAGAAATTCAAAATACATTATATTTAGTCTTTAAATTTAGAATGGAATTCTTTCTGCATTACTTTATGCATTTCAGTGGTTAAATATAAATGTATCAGGTATAATAGCTGATATACTTATACATAGAAAAATATTGACAATAACACAAACAAGAAAATTATTCAATACATTAGGAAGCTTTTTACCGGCAATATTTATTTTTGGTTTAACTTTTATGACATGTCAAAACAAATATACTGCTGTTATTCTTTTAACAATCGGTGTTACATTTACGTAAATCAATTTTAATCTTGATTTCAATAAGAACATAATTTTTTTTTCTTTAGTGGATGCTATGTTGGTGGAGGTTTTCCATTAATAGCAAACGATATAGCTCCTGCTTATGCAGGTATCGTTTTTGGGATTTCCAATACATTTGGAACTATACCGGGTATTATTAGTCCATATATTGTTGGCGCTCTTACAGAAAAAGTATGTTTATTTCTGTTGAAATATTTAAAAAAAAGAACAGTCTTTTTTTATAAACTAGGATCCAAATAATTGGCCAATTATATTTGTTATATGTACTGTTATTTATATTATTGGACTCGTAATATTTTTACTAATTGGTTCAAGTGAATTGCAACCATGGGCAATAAAACATTTAGAAAATAGTGTTTTATATGATGATTTAATATCAAGTGAGTTCTACAGATTGATAATCGATATGACATTCATTTATTTATTTATTTCTAGAAGAAAAAGGTGAAACAACAAAAAAATAGCAAAATCAAGGAAATTGAAATATGTTGTTAGGGAAAGAAAGGTTAATTTTTATTTTTTTTTGTTGTGATGAAAATATACGAATCGATCTTAGTTATTATTGAACAAAAAAAAATAAAACAAGATTTTGTTCTCTGCCATTTGGAATGGATGATTGAGGAAATTAAGATATTGTGTTAAATATTTTGAAGAGAGTAAATAATCATCTACATGACTTTTTGTTATTTTAATGCGTAAATCATGAAAATTCAATATTATTATTCCAATATATATTTCTTTAATTAATCATTTGATCAGTAGAATTTAACAGGTAAATGTGAAGAATTAATCAATTCTTCACATTTACCCTAAATCAAAGAATTAATCAAGTCTTTTTTTCTTTGCTAATAGGGTTTTTTTTATATGTTTCATTATCAAGTAATTTACAAGTTGAACATATTCAAATAAATGTTGATCAAGTTATATGGCCAAATATTAAATGTATTGTTTTGATTTTAACAGATTTATATGTT